CAGTATGCGTCGTTGTCGGCGAAGTCTCCGATAGTCGCTTAGCAGTCGAACCCTGGGGTAACCATGGAGCCTATAACACACTTGCATCCTCCAAGTTTGGGCTAACTCTTGTGAAACCCAGCGACGTCGACTTCAGAAGTGACTGGGATAGGTCCATCACGGCCATCACGACTTTACAAGGCCTCATCGCAACTTCTCAAGATCACAAGTTCTTTGTGCTGGCCGAAGGGGTCAACTCTTCCCTTCGTTTCACTGCGCCAATCTTTACGCTGAAGGTAAGCGGTCATACATCAAGTGACGACTCGCTTCTCTAATACACCCCAATTATCCCCAGGATCCCGCTTTCGATCGTACGTCAACCTTCAGTTACTGACTACAACTTACTGACTTGAAAAACTATAGCGCCGGGATCGGAATTGGATACCAATGCTTGGCCAGTTCGCGCGAATGAGCGGGAAGCCCTCGCGGACTTGGTTCAGACTCATAAAGTGTTACCGTTGATGGTCTACGACGAAACCGAAGCGGCCGTGCTACCTATGAATGTCACAGAAACGATCAAAGGGGCTTTAGTTGAGCTCACATTCCGTCTAAAACACTACTACATCCAAGACAAAAATTATGACACCTTCTCCGCGGCCATCGAGCAGATCATCGTATTGAAGCGTGCACCACCCAAACAACCCAGCCCCTATCGACGTGGTGCTGGCCCAGTACGTTTGCCAACTACCGGCCCAACGAGGAGCGAACAAGTTGCTGCCGTATCCGTGTTTTATCCTCCTGTCCCGACAGGCTCTGCCCCAGTTCAACTGAACCCAACGCTGGGCGTAGCCACCCCCACAATCCAAGCAATCGCATCGAAGGGCGCAGTTGGTACGCGTTCAACGTCAGTTACACCAACTAACAAATAACCTCTTTATGTGCAGGAACGGAAAGAATTCCTATTGCAGAACAAGCTCCGGTATCTCCTCTCCAGAGCCCTCTTCCTATCAGAGGCCCTAACGACCAGTTCACACCTTGGCCTCCAAATACTCCTCCGCGCCGTTCTGATGGCTCTTCTACCGCAAGTTCTGAGCCATATTCGGAGTTCACAACTCCACAGACACCGAAAACCCCCTCACCATCTGGACCTACCCAGCAATCGGCTCTTCCACAGAATGCAGCGGCGGGACCTTCCAATCTGCGCTCGGGTCATACGATGGTGAACGATGGTAAGCGTAAGGCTGGTCCTGGGGACGAGGACGGCAGCAACGCAAAAAAAGGAAGGACCGGAGTTTGATTGACGTTCTTGATAGCTTATTTGCCCTTGATGTAGCACTATTATTAAGATTCATTTGTACCGCTCCTTTGTATTTTTTCTATTGATTGACCTAACAATGTCGTACACAACAACCACAAAAGAGTGCACGCATCGATAGACTTGGAAAAATAGTACTTTGATTTGTCATCGTATTGGACACTCGTTAGACCGTTCTGACACCTTCGGAAAGAGTTGTTCACAAGTAAGTCAGATAGTCTACTACCATACCGAACTGACAAACAATTGGAAAGAAGAATGCGAGTCGACATCCCAATGGACGTCTTACAAGAAAACGTCGTGGACCAACTGTTGCTTGCTGAAGATTGGAAAACACTATCTTCGATGTCCCAAACATGTCAAACGTTGGTTCGACCATCGCGAAGACGTCTTTTCGCGACAATTTTGGTGGCGGGGCCCACAATTCTACGCCTCTACAATCTTTTACATGCCAGTCCACACATCACCGAATATGTTCACCACCTTCATTATCAGCTGCATTACTCTGACTGGGACATACAAACGGGTCTGATGAAACGATTTTATCTGCTAAAGAGTATCGATCTCACAGGAGAATATCCCAGAAGGAACTGGAACTAGTGTTTAAAGGTTCAGTCCATAGGACCGCAAAAAACCGGTGGACCGAACTGAACCGGATCATGGTCCGGTCTTTTTTTCGGTTGCAGTTGCCCCAATTTGGGGTTGGTCCGGTTGCCGGTTGCCTCATTTCGAAAATCTTTTAAAACCGTTCAAAGACCGGTTTTAATCGGTTGCAACCGGTTAAACGGTCACGTGCGTTACATAGCCTTGTAACCACGTTTATTGCCTTTTATTGGGTTTTTGTTTCATCAAAAACGGTTAAGAATTGAGAAAGATATAACCAAATCCATATTTTACCCGAGTCTCTATGAGATATAATTCGGTTTCAGTCATAGCTATGTCAAATCTTCATTAAATCTCTTGAAAATTGGTAGAATGACGGGTATTTATATGCTTTACTATTTTATATAACCCGTTTATTTTTCAGAGTAATAATGGTTGAGATACAAATGGTTTATATTGGTATAATAAATTATATGTAAAAAAACCGGTCTGGATCGGTCTGAACCGGTATCATGGACCGCAAAAGACCGGTCCTAGGTGGTTCGG